AAAAGCTGTTGCGCGTTGAGTATGACGCGTTCTATACTTGTTTGGAAAAGTCGCATCACATAACATAATACAGATATTTTCAAATTAATCATTGCTTTTACAAAAAGAGAAAAAGTATATTGTTACATTTGTTTTGTATAATGTCCATTTCAATAAATGTATGCATAATATCTAAAAGCTTTTAAATAAAATTTGTCATCATTTATTCACCCTCATGTCATTCCAAACCTGTATGACTTTCTGTATGCAAGACAAAAAATATTTTTGCAAAACCTATTCTCTCTGAATGAGAAAGTCAGTCATACAGGTTTGGAAGGACATGCGGGTGTCTAAATGATGGTAAAATTTTAATTTTTGGGTGAACTATCCCTTTAACGCTATTGTCATATGACAAAAAGTTCAGAAAATGTAAGCTTTTGCTTCAAAGCAATGGATGAATTGACCAATTACAATACATTTTTTTTTTAAACCTAGTTCAGAAATAGGTCTTTCACACTGGCAATTTAGTCCAAAATCTTTGAATGAAAAATTGGTTGTCATGCTGTAATACCCAAATTGTTTATTGTAATGGTGCCTTCTTGTTGTGTTGTGACACTCAGTGTCGCGTTAGTTTCCGGTTCTCTTCCTCTCTACGTGCAGATGTTCAAGCAACAGATGGTCTCACTCTGATTTCATGCTTACTACAACTCCACAAGGATGAAATCCCCTCTGGAGCAGTCACGGCCAGCAACTACTGTGGTGAATAAAAGTAATTTTGGCTGTCTGCGGGTAAATATCTATTGTGAGTGGTGTGCTTTTAATGTGTCGCTCCCGGCAACAGAGTGAGATGTTGCTCCTGAGCTACGTGTTCGGAAAGACAAGCAAGTCTGATCGGGAAAAAATAATTAAATGAATGTTAAATAGAAGAAAAGAAAGAAACAAAGCAAAAATATGAATCAAATCTGGTAAAGGTCAAGGCATTGTTGAACTTTCTGAACTCTGCTGATCTTTCAAATAACTGATTAAAGGCAGCACTGTTTTGAGATTCCTCTAGCATTCTGGTCTGGGGTTTGTTCTAATCTCTAACCTTAAGTATTTAAATTCTGCAATTAACAAACTGCTTAAAGGAGTAGTTTACCCAAAAATGAATGAATGTGTACTAATAAAATGTAGGCCTACTCACCTTTAAGGCATTCAAGCAGGGGCGTAGATTACGCGGGGTACGAGGGGGACGTGTCCCCCCCACTTTTCATATCACGTAAATTCGTCCCCCGCACTTTTCGGGCAAGTGTGTTCGCATAGAGGTGTTCAAGAGCCGGTGTGAATAAATATATATTTAAATTCAAAGAGAGATTGCATGATCTGATTTATTCGGACCCAGAATAAGGCGAGATGAACATCACGGAGCGCAAAACACTCCATGCAGTGTATGTTTCATTCATACTCGAATCCGGAGGGCGCTCTCGCGCAGAAAGTCATACCAGGAAATTCCTAATATGGACAAAAGCGTTCAGCTATCGCTGTATGAAAACAGTTGTTTTCACAGAAAAACAGAAACGTTTGGAAACATGAAGACATTAAACATACGATTGCGACAATATATGGTTTATTTGTGTTTGTCAAGTCATCTCCAGGTAATAAATAAAGTATATGAACAATGCCGTGCTAATTGACATAGCATTTATTACAGTATAGAAACTATTCTGCCTTATTATGTGATAAAAAAGTGTTTGTAGTATAAAAAAAAATCATTATTATTGGTTATTGTCCAGCAGTTATCTGATTTCTAAGCCAAGTAAAGCTAGAAATTAGAGAAAAATTAAAGTTGCCTATACACTAAAAGTCAAAACTTTTTGAACAGTAAGATTTTTTATGTTTTTTAAAGAAGTCTCTTCTGTTCACCAAGCCTGCATTTATTTGATCCAAAGTACAGCAAAACAGTACAATTTTGAAATATTTTTACTAGGCTATTTAAAATAACTATTTTCTATTTGAATATATTTTAAAATGTAATTTATTGTGATTTCAAAGCTGAATTTTCAGCTTCTGAAATGATGGCTACGCCCCTGCATTCAAGATGTAGATGAGTTTGTTTCTTCATCGTAACAGATTTGGATAAATTTAGCATACTTGATTACCAATGGATCCTCTGCAGTGAATGGGTGCCGTCAGAATGAGAGTCCAAACAGCGGGCAAGAAAAAAGTTTGTTTCTTCATCGTAACAGATTTGGATAAATTTAGCATACTTGATTACCAATGGATCCTCTGCAGTGAATGGGTGCCGTCAGAATGAGAGTCCAAACAGCGGCTAAGAACATCACAATTATCCACAAGTAATCCACATGACTCTAGTCCATCAGTTAATGTCTTTTAAAGGGAAAAGCTGCCTGTTTGTAATAAATCCATCAAGGCGTTTAACTTTAAACCATTGCTTCTTGCCAAAATATGAGTGCATAATCCATAACACGTCATCCAGTGAAACCGCCAATCCCCTGTTGTCTTCTCACATCAAAATCCACCAACATATATGTTTTTCGGTGCCTGATCTGTGCATAGTTCACTCCTGATTCAGATTAAACAACTTTTTCAATGCAAAACTTTTTTTTTGTTCACAAGACATTAATTGATGGACTGGAGTTGTGTGGATTACTTGTGAATTATTGTGATGTTCTTAGCCGCTGTTTGGCCTCTCATTCTGACGGCACCCATTCACTGCAGAGGATCTATTGATGAGAAGGTGATGTAATGTTTAATTTCTCCAAATGTGTTCCCATGAAGAAACAAAGTCATCTACATCTTGGATGGCCTAAGTGTGAGTACATTTTAAGGGATAGTTGACCCAAAAATGAGCCTCCTATCATCATTTACTCTTTCTTCTGTGGAACATAAAATCAGATATTTTAAAGAATGTGTATTTGGTTTTATCAATGGATTCCAAAACAACACTGGACCCCACTGACTTTCATCAAAAAACAAAAACTAAAAAAAAGTACTGTCAAACAAAGTCATACAGGTTTGGAATGATGGGAAGGTTGACATGATGATGACAAAATTTTCAATTTCATATCTTGCATGTAAAAGGTGGAACACATAGCGAGTCATGTGACATGCCTGTCCCTCATATGGCACCATCTGATCAGATGAATCATCTGGGGTCACACTTTATAAATCAGAACAATGGCTTTTATTAAATCCGGCTCTTTCACTCTGATCTCTCGCCCTCTCTTACACACCGGTACATTGAGGAGGGAGTGCATTGTCTTTGAGTGTCACGCTTTTGCGTTGCTGTGCTATCATCGCCAGCATGTATCAGTCATGGTAATGTCAACGATGATTGAATCAGTTTGTAATTATGGATGCGTGCCACTTGTCTCCTTGCTTCTACACGGATAAATCGGAAATGCTTGAAGGAACAGTGAGAGCCAGGAACGTGCTGCACCTTATCATATCCAAAAAAGGCTGCATGCAGAATAAATTGTCTTAATTGGAGGAAGACGACAGCGACAGACGTCTTTCTGTGTAACCTCATTTGAGCTCATGGTGCTTGTGTTTGCTCATTTAGTGTAACCTGATAAAAAGAGCTTTCAGGTGTTTCTGTCGGACAGTGTGCTCATGTCCTGAAACAAAGCCAAATCGAGCAGATACAGATACTTCGTAAATATATTTAATTGGTAGAGGGATGTGTGATGAGTCCTACAGATCCTCACTGCCTGTTTTGGTCTATTTATATATACTTTGTTTTAATCTAAAGCATCAGTGCAAAAGCAACAGAAAGTAGAACTATGCAATGCACATATTCAGTTCACATATTCTGCACTCTTCAGGTCAGGTCTGGCTTTGAGCTCAAATGAATTAATGGGCATCAGCAAACAAGTGTTTGGCTACACCTAAATGCTAGAGTATGTTCAAATACCTGCTGCCTATGTAGGCAGCATTTAAGATATTATACTATACACAAAGACTGTTCCAAAAGGTAGGCAGCAAAATTGTGCTGCCTCTTAAGATGATCACATTTTGACCAAATTCTAAAGCACCACTGCATGCAACCATTGCAAAACATTACCAGAATGCACTGCAATGAGAGCACTGTTAATTAAAAACATGTAGAATATGTCAATTCTGAAAAGTATTGATGAAAATAAAAATGTGTGCACTGCTGTACATACAGTGGCCCCCAAAAATGAGGACACTCTTTGGCACTTAAAAGTCACACTTTTGGAAACTTGAGAATGTTTTTAATGCACTTAAATTTAGACAATTTGAAACCAACTGGCATCTGCAAACAAATAAAACTAGAGCTTTTTTTCAGAACTAACTTCACTTTTGTATACACTTGTGGATGCATTAAGTTGATCAAGTGTGACAGTACAGCCATTTAAAATGTCACAAAAGATTTTTATTTCAAATGAATGTTGTTCTGTTGAACTTTCTATTCGTCAAAGAATCCTGGAAAAATGTATCACCATTTCCACAAAAATATTAAGCAGCACAACTGTTTTTAAATTTGATAATAAGAAATATTTGAAATGTTTCGGAATCAGCATATTAGAATAATTTCTGAAGGATCATGTGACGCTGAAGACTGGAGCAGTGGCTGATGAAAATTCAGCTTTGCCATCACAGGGATAAGTAAAGTTGTAAACAAACTATGAAGTTGGCTTGAGAAAGCCTAGCCTACAAGTTTAAAGCAGTTGTGAAAGCTTGAAGTTTGAAAGTTTAGATAGATATTGATTGCATGTTGATAGCATGATTTAGCATATTGCTAACATTAAATTAACATGTTGATAGCATGTTTTTAACATAAGCATGTTTCTAGCATGAATAGCATGATTCTAACATATTATCACATTGTTAGCATGATTAACATGTTGTTAGCATGTTTCTAATATAGTTAGCATGTTTTCTTAGAATGATTAGCATGTTGCTAGCAGTTAAAACTCCACTCCAGTTAAAACCAGCTGAAAGTTTATGGGATTTTTAGTGGTTTTGATAGTCTGATAGTCTGGTTTACGAAAACCGTAAGTTGGATCAGTTAGAAAAAATATAGCAACCAGAGTCAGACCAGTCTGAAGATCTGACCCGAGATTGGTGATTATAGCTTGAAAGCTCTAGGAGGAGATACATTTTAAAATGTAGTCACAGAAGAAGAAGAGTTGCAGCAGCTTAAAGGAACTCTCCACTATTTTTGAAAATAGGCTCATTTTCCAACTCCCCTAGAGTTAAACAGTTGAGTTTTACCGTTATCGAATCCATTCAGCCGATCTCCGGGTCTGGCAGTAGCACTTTTAGCTGTAGCTTAGCATAGATCATTGAATCTGATTAGACCGTTAGCATCTCGCTCAAAAATGACCAAAGAGTTTTTATATTTTTCCTATTTAAAACTTGACTCTTCTGTAGTTACATCGTGTACTAAGACCGACGGAAAATGAAAAGTTGCGATTTTCTAGGCCGATATGGCTAGGAACTATACTCTCATTCTGGCATAATAATCAAGGAACTTTGCTGCCGTACCATGGGTGCAGCAGGCACAATTTCAGTGATCTATGCTAAGCTACAGCTAAAAGTGCTACCGCCAGACCCGGAGATCGGCTGAATGGATTCGAAAACGGTAAAACTCAACTTTTTAACTCTAAGGGAGTTAGAAAATTAGCCTATTTTCAAAAATAGTGGAGTGTTCCTTTAAATAGCATATCAGTAAGTTGGCTTTCTCAAGCCAACTTAAGAAATAGAAATCTAGAGTATAGAAATTCTATAATAGAAATAGTAGAAAAGAGTTGTTTTCATTTGTAATAGTATTTCACAATATTACTGTAAATCCCACTTGTTTAGCCTGTGTATAGCCCATTAAACCCACATACAAGGTCTTCTGTATTCACAAAGAGAATGATCTGTGCTATAATTATGAACACATCTGAACAAATCTATTACTATACACACATTGGCATGTTCCCAACACCTCTGCACAGATCCGAGAGCCTCTAATTGGTCATACCTCTTCCTGTCTGGGATCAATAATTTATGTATCTGAGCTAATAATAAGCCTAATTTGGATGGAGTGCAGTATAGGTTCAGATTAAATGATATGTACACTAATGGCAAGGAGGTCCTTGAAGTATTTCAAAGACCATCCTCTCTGAGCCGGAAGAAAGACATGAAAATCTCAATGGCAGCTGTACTAAAGACTCTGATATCTCTCTTTCCTCTCTCCAAATGAGTCTTAGCATTCATGTTTATATAACGGTAAAAGACATGCAGAAATTAGGCCATATAATAGTCACAGACTAAATATAAAGGATCTGGTCAGTATAATGTATACACTGTATGCATATGCATCTCTTAAATGCACAGCTCATGCAAAAATGAAATTGCTGTCATCATTTACTCACCCTGATTTCGATCCAAACCTATATGACTTTCTTACTTCCATAAAACACTAAAGGAGCTGTTTTGCAGAAGGTCTGACGTTCTCTCTTTCAAAATAATAAAAGTGGATGGGGACCAGGGGCTACAAAAACATCATAAAAGCATCATAAAAGTGATGATGAATACTGTGACTTCATCAGTATGATTTATGTGAGGAACAGACTAAAATTAGGTCTTTATCCAATGGAAATTTAGCTGGACAGCTGTAGTCACCATTCACTTCATGGAAAAGAGCAGCTTGATATCTCCTTTTGTGTTTTATAAAAGAAAGAAGGGATTTCATAACATTTCATCTTGGAGGCCAACTATCCCTTTAACACAGAGTAATGAATTTTTAAATCTGCTTTCTCTCTGTAAAGCGTCAAAAGAAGGCTGTCAGCTTTGTGCTAACAAACCTGTTTAAATCTCAGAGCGCAATGAATTATATATATGAATTATAATATTTTCCCATTTACATCATATGCCAATAAAAGCATCATCTTAATAGGGGTGAAAGTATGGCTTTGTCTATCCCCTTTGTTACCTGAAATGAAAAACGCATACGGTAATGTGTATTTTGGTATGCATCGGTACCAGTAAATATGTATGACAACAGACTTCAACATACTCTTATACAAGAGACAAAAAAAAGACTTACTAGATAAACTAGTGATCATTTTGCTTTAAATTCTTGTTGACATAAATTTCTTATTAACTGTTCAAAGCCTTGAAGTCTGGGCTGCTCTGTTTTATCCACTGCACTTTAATGTTTTAAGAGAGCCAAAAGGGTACATGACTAACAACACCCTATGTGACTCTCACATTATATCATATGGATGTTTTTGATAAGGTGAGTCAGGAAGGTTGACAGGGATGTCAAGAACAATTTTTCAGACCTAGAAGCAGCAATAGTGCTCTCTGCTGGTGAAACAGCCCCACTGAGAGCACATCAAATGAACAGGGAGAGACAAAAATATTGTGAACACCCATTATTGGAGGGGTTAGTGAGTGTAATTTTAGTTGACTACAGAGAAAAATAAAAGTTTTATTTATCTTATCCTTGTCTCTTCTCTAGTTTGCATCTAGTATAAATTGTGTTCAGCAGTGTTTAATATAAGCCATGGGTGGCTTGTCAGACTTCGAAAATGGTCAAATCATGGAAGCCCGTTTAGCAGGAGCTTCTTTAAACTCAACAGGCTTTATGGCTGCATACATAGCAGGACTGCATCAGTGGAGAGTTAGTGGGTGAAAACCAAAATTGAATGACGGTAACCATTGAACACTAAGAAGGATCATGTCCAAACAGCAGAGAACTACTTCAGCAAAGTGACAGCAAACCTCAATATTCAACTTTAAGAACCTGTTTCCTCAAAAACCAACCACAGAGAGCTTCACAATCCACCTGAAAGACACGCAATAGCTAAAACCTTAATCACAGACGCAATACTAAAATGCGAGTTTTTATGATCATAAAACCTGGACCGTTAGAGTACCAAGATGAACTTTAACATCTGACCTGGTCAGACAAATCATCCGACTTGAATATTATTAAACCAGCATGGGCAGTTTTAGAGAGGATTCTGATTCTGAAGCTGATTCATTCTTCCAACATTTCTAAAGCAACTGGCAGATGTTTTTAGAGAAAACATCCAACTGGAGACTATTCGAAAGATGCATGAATCGATTCTAAGAAGGAATACTTAAGATGTACAGTACTTAAGGCAAATGGTGGTGAAACACCTTAACAGACTAATATTTTCTATTTCCTGGATGTTCACATTATTTGGTCCAACCCCTTTAAATCAGTGATCAATTTAATTTCAAATCATTTTATTTGTACAGTGCTTTTCACAATGCAAACTGCATAAAAGAGTAGACTATAGTGGAAATAATAGAAAAGGCTGCACAATGTCACATTGTATGATCCAGTGGCATGTTTACCGACCACATACATGGCCATAATTTGGCATAGAAGGTGACAACTTTTAACATGAAAGCAGGTGAAGTGCCTCCTGGTGGAATTAGGAGGATCTAGATTGTTGAAATGTTTGGCCTTGCCTGGAATTTCTGGATCAGCCTTCTCTACCTCCCTGAGCAGATTCTGATCTGCGATTTACCAGAGAACAATAAAGCATCTGGTTGTCATAAAGTCCCTTTCTATGCGGCTGTTTCGCAGTCACTCATTGTGCCTGGTAATTCCAGCAAATTATCCATCAACCATCCACTCCGAGAGAGTATGATGTATTGTTCCCATGTAGCAATTCAAGAGCACTGAACTGCAGAAACTTACTTTTAAAGTAATCATTGCAAAACCAAGCTGTGAGGAAACCACAAATCTGGATTGCCTGTGCCTTTCTGAATGCACGCTAAATGAATGTGTGGGCGGGTGTGTGTAAGGCTGATTGTGTTTTATTTGGTGGCTGTCCTGCTCATGGATTGACGCTACTGCAGGTGTGTGTGAGGAACAAATGAGACTCAAGCAGAAGGGTGCTGTGATCACACTCACTGTGCCCAGCAGGGGTGCGGAAGCCCGGCACTGGCAACATGCTTGTGACGTGACGGACAGGAGGGGGTTTTCTCTGCACATCCCAGTGCCAGGAACATGTGCCAGGCAGAGGACGGCAGGCAGCACTGCCTATGCCAACCTGTCTCTCCACGAACAAGGTGCAGGTCGGGAAGACAACGTGACACAATCACAATTAGGGCTGGGTAAAAATATTAATCTTCGAATCTATTGTGATCTCCCTTTGAACATTTCTAAAAAAGATCGATCTCTCACTCTATGCATATTTTCAGTGGCTGCGTTTAAAAATTTTTTTCAAAGATGTCTGCTTCCTGATGAACTTTACTCACTTGACTGCATAGTTTGGGGCCCTGCTCTTAATTTATAAAATTAATATTCATAATATACCATGTTCGGGACCATTCACAAGTAATGGATTTTTTGCGTGGGAAAGGAGACCAGAAGCCATTTTTTTTCAGTGGCTGCGTTTAAAAAATTTTTTCAAAGATGTCTGCTTCCTGATGAACTTTACTCACTTGACTGCATAGTTTGGGGCCCTGCTGTTAATTTATAAAATTAATATTCATAATATACCATGTTCGGGACCATTCACAAGTAATGGATTTTTTGCGTGGGAAAGGAGACCAGAAGCCATTTTTTTAATGGATGTCAATGGAGGAGAGGCTTCACAATGATGAATAAAATGCTTTTGGAGGAAAAGGTTTATCATTTTCTAAATCGACAGCCTATCTGCTAATCTTCAATGAGTTTGTCATTAAACATTTGTTTTGGATTCATCTTAAAGACAAATTAGGGACAATTTTTGCAAAAAGTAAGATTTAGTTTACGGCACTTCTCATTCATTTCTATGGTATCCACAAACTGATTGACTGTTGCAGAAATCTGACAGAAGTTCAGTGACATCTTCAAGTTCAAGTTCATGATGCTTGCTGGATGCAAGTTCGCTGTCTGTATTTGTAATGAATGTCCTCGTGGGATGCACGCAAAAACAAACATACAGTGCAACCAGTGTAGTTCAATTCACAAACAAATTAATTACAGTACAAGCTGGTTCCGTTTAATGAAACAAAAATATATAGCACCAGTGTTGTTTAAAGCAGCACTAAGTAACTTTTTCTGTGTTCAAAATTTGCTAAATGTATATAATGAGCGAGAACATCATGAATTCATCTTCCAAACCGTTTTTGTCTTGTTCCGAATCACTACGTTACACTTATAATAAGTACTTATATTTGGACTATTGTAGCCTGGTCGGGTCGTCACCGCTGCGGAGTAACACATACCTGCGTGAATCGCCATAGACATAAACTTAGAGAAGTAGCTCCGGTTGGAATGTTCTTCCGCGGGATGTGTGCTGTTCTGTTTATTAACCGCTAGAGCGCCAAAAGTTACATAGTGCTGCTTTAAATCAAGCAATGAATGACTCGCGATTCAGTTCTTTTTTTTAATGAATCAAACACAGCGCAACCAAATAAATTTGTCAGTGTCTGACATTCGCTCATATATTTTCATTCATTCTGTACTGGACTCACATGTCATACACTAGCCTACATAAGGAACGGTGATTGAACATGTAAGCGATTTTGGACACAGCGTATGCGTTCTATTTTTTTCATAAAAAAACCCTGGAACCTGAAACAAATGACAATTATATCAGTTTGAAACACTGCGTTGTATCAGAGTGAGAATTTATTTTGCATGTAGCCTAAGTGAAATGGACATTATATCTGAAATATAACTAAATGAATGACCCAGCCCTAATTGCAGTCATCAAAACATTCATTTGTAAGTGAATTAATTTACAAAAAGCATTTATCAAAACAAAACAACAACAGGGCCGATTTTCAATTATTCATCTAGATTCTAGATGATGAACACAACCTTGAACATCTCTTGTGCAAGCGACTAAATATTTGACAAATAAAGAACACAATTCATAATGAGGTCTTCTTTAGCTCACCTTGAAGGAGAGAGAACGGTCCTTTCTTGTTTCTTTAAAACACAAAGCAACATTATTTTCAGCAATAGACATATTCTACAGTGTCACTTATGAATCACCCATTTCATATAAAGAGCAGTATTGCTTTTGCAATTGGGTGTTGACAAGGTGACTGAAATAAGCCAGGCGCATTGCAAATGAAAGTGTCTGTAAGAGCCATTTCACTTGTTTTAAAGTGGAGTTTGTCTACTGCAAAGAAAGGGACATCAGAGAGTGTGGCCCTAAAGCACGTACCATGTTCTCATTACTGCTAACAGCCTTGAGTCTGCCTTCCCATTATGGAGAATTACGTACAGTTGTATCAACTATTGGTCACACAAGGCAGAGCAGGCCCGTTCTCTCTCCCTTGATCTCATGTGGGGAGTTTTTTCTGCTTTCTGTTTATGGATTTGTCCTAAATCTCTAATGACAAATCAGTCCAGCTGATTTATACTGGTTTGGTACTGGTCTAGCTGCTAGACCTAGTGTTGGTTACTGGTATTCTGCAGTTTTCAAGTAATGGTTAGAATATTTGGAGAAAACTGTTGTCATGCATCTTGAACTTCCGTAGAATCTCCTGGAGGTGATTTGAAATCTGCCGTCTTTGCTCGTGTATAAAATGACATCTTGATAGTTACTCTTTTTATTAGTGTAGAGTATTTAACATCAGAAATGTAATAGTCATTTTATTACGGTGGCCGAGAGAGCTCAACGCGCTGTAACTTAAGAAAACACATGCAAATTGAAAAAACACCAGCATCAATTTAATGCGTCCTTGCTGAATACAATGATTTATTATAAGACAGATTGTGACTGAATTTTTGTTTTCTGTTGCTTTTAGTGCCTGACCATCTTTTTAATTCCTATTTAAAAACTCTCTCCTTAGTTTTAAACAGAAGTATCATCACCTTTTTTCATCCTCCACTTTTCCCCATCCAACATCGTGTCTTCCCATCCCTCTCTCCGGTTGCAGGCTGGGAATATGAATTACCTGACTGGCAGTAGGCGTTCTGCTTGGCTGACAGCTGTCATGAACACACGGGATGGATGGAGAGAGACAGAGAGGGATGAGTCTGTCAGTTCCCCTCCCTCACTCCTTCCCCTCCTTCTCTCGAGGCATTTCACTCTTTTAAGCAGTTGTATAATGAAGAGCTTCCTTCTGCGGTCCTTCCCATTTAACACAGGGCACCGGAGCAGGCATTGTGGGCCACCGAGTTTCTCGCTCTTGTGCAGACCATATACTGCAATAGTGTATTTCATTACTAGCCAGACAACTGTAGAGAAGGCACTTTAGGGTAATTCCCCCAAATCACTGGGTCTCTGTGGTGCTGTCAACACATTACTCTGTTTGAGTCAGACATATCAACATTAATTCAACCAGTGGTGTTAGTTTGGGGCAGGACTGTATGTTTGTCTGACAGATGGAAAGAGT